TGGAAGTGGGCATGTTTGTAGCTTATCCGCTTATGGGAGTGAGGTGAGTGTTGTGGCCGATTCATCATGTGTCTCTCCTAACTCGTGTTTCATTGGCTGGCTGAAACCAAGCAAATCATTTCACAGTGGTTGTGTAAAAACCGACGGTTAAAATTGCGATAATGTGTGTAACCTCTGAGTGTACCTCTGAATTGAGTACCAGTACACACCATAGTTTTTTTGTTGCCGTCTTGATACAAAAGTTGGAGTATCGAGCCTAAAGATGAACCTTTTCATTCAGCCGCATCTCCATTTTGGGCTGATTGCGGTAGCAGATCAACATCAGATGCCTCACTCCGTTGGAAAACGTCCTTCCAAAACTATCTGGATTTAATCAACGATTTTGATGCTGCTCTTAGTGAGAAAAACGTATTGAAGCTGTTTAAACATTTACTCGGAGATAAGAGGCAGCGATAATTTGATGATTTGGGTCTTCAAGGATGTAAATCCGTTAAAGAAGCTTTTAGTGCTCTCGATCGTATATGGGGTTTCCAAATGAACGTGTTTACTGTGAGATACATTTTTCCCGAATGCATCAGGAAACAGGCGAACCCTTGAACGATTTCCTTTCCCAATTAATTCGCGCAGTACGACCGTGGGTTTACTCGTCCATACCCTAGAAAAAGATCGAAGGTTTCATATTAACTCAGCAGCTGATTACTGGAATCGCCGACAATCGTGAATGTGAGACGCTGTTGCAGAAACAGCCATGCACATTAACGTAGGATCAATCTTGTGAGTTAGCCAGAATGAAAACTAAAAGTTCACTGTAATCTAAATAGTTCTGTTTGACCTACACACCTGAGGTGGCAAACTGCAATCCTTCCGACAGTTACCAGCGGACAAGCCATCTTGCCATCTCTGGAAGTGCTTCACATAAGGCCAAGTTTTCCACTCGTCCCGTACGCAGCCTCAAGTGCAAAAACTGACAAAATTTGGCACTCTGTCCGATGTTGTCGGTCGCAAGCCATCGCACTTATCAAGAACAATGCTGCACCTGAAGGCCATGTTGCTGATCCATTTCAGGAAAACATTTATCTTTTTACCACTAATATAAACACTTCAAAAAGTCTAACAATATCCGTTATTGAACTAAATTTTCCCTTCTCTGATATTCGTATTGTGTCATTCCTTACTATCAAAGGCGCTGTTCCACTTTGCAATTTTACGAAAGCCACTTATCGCAGAATAGTTTACAGTTCAGTTCGTATTCATTTTGGAGTTACAGTGGAAACACTTTAACCATATTGGGATTCAGTATCGTGCCTTTACAGCTGTATTCGGTAGCTGCGGATGTTGCACTTTACATTTCTTCAGACAGCCGATCCTTACGTAGAAGAGACGCCATGGTGACTTTGCAAATAGTACCATCTTTCGACCGCACGCTTGCTTCTTCTGTCAATGTGACCTACTGGCATGAAAGTTATCCTAAACCTTTTCAGCAGTCCATCGGACGTATTCCAAGTGGTATGCACCGCATTCAACTGAAGCAGGATGCAAAACTCCTTGCCATTGGTCAACGTCGGCCTCCTCCGCTTGCTGAACGCCAATTTTTCTCAGCAGCCCTGCAAAAGATGCAAGAAAATGAATTGATCGAATCCAACGGCCGCTCTGAGTGGGTGCCTTCAATAGTAAATGCACTGAGGAAAGATGGCGCTGTCAGGATATGCAACGATTTGTTGGGACTAAGTAAGCAGATCGGCGTCGAGTGATTCTTGTTGATATCCAAGGAAGAACTCACTGTACGTTTAGCTGGTGCAACCGTTTTGCCAGGCCAGATTTGGAAAGTTTTCTTCCATATGTCAATGGCCAATGCTTCGAAACACCTTACTGCCTTCCTTGCTCCCCATGGCTTATTTCCGTAGAAAAGGTTGCCAATGGGTTTGGGTTCTGCGCCCGCTTCCTGGCAAAAATCCATGACTCACGCAATGGCAAGTATTGAGGGGCAGATTATATACATGGATGACATCTGCGTCTTCCGTCGCTCACAAGAACAGCATGATGAAAGGTTACACAAAATTCTTCGGCGTCTCAGTGATCTTGATTTTTGTTTGAATGCAAAAATGTCTCTTCAATGCCCCCGAGTTTCAATTTCTGGTACACATCCCACCGCGTGGCGGCATTTTTCAAAACAAGGAAAACCGTCAGACCATCATAGAAGTGCGAACACCCAAGCACGTGACAGAACTGAAGTCTATTTTGGGAAGGTGTTCCTACGACCTGCGTTATTTGTAAAATTTTGCAACCCTAGCATGTTCATAACGACACCTAACTAAGAAAGGAGCGTCGTTCACTTGGGGAAGTGATCAGCAAAACGTATTCGATGGACTGAGAAGGAGAGTTAGACCTGCTTCCTTAGTTATTATTTTTGATGAATCATGCCGCACAGTTGTGTCGACTGATGCGTCTGCTGTTGGTCTCGGCGATGTTCGGTCACAGCTACAAAAAGGAGAGGAAATGTTATTGTTTAGGCATCCCGGAAACTATCAGATTCTAAGCGGTAGTATTCAGTTGAGGAGAAAGAAGCTCTTGCTTGTGTGTGGGTTTGTGAAAAAGGGCATCTTTTCCTAATCGGTCGTCAGTGCACTCTACGAACTGCGCACTCCAACCACACAATCTTTCTCTACAATGGATCCAAAGGACCGCGTCCAACGCGGATCGATCGTTGGTATGCTAGACTTCTTACCTATAATTTTCAAATTGTGTACCGGCGGGGTTTGCAAAACTAAGCTGCTGAAGGATTATCTCGCTTATCCGTGGGGTGGGCGTCCTCGCGGTATACTCAGCCCGCGCGCGACTGGTGGTGGTCGCGCGGCAGCGAAGCGCCGTTACGGCGTACCGCTGACAATATTTTTATATTTTTATTTTATCCGTGGGAATGGAGGATGACAAGGAGAGACTCAGGGAGGCAGTATCAGTTTTATGCCTTGGCCCCGGTCTAAGTGCGTGGATTATCGATGAATTACGAGGGGAAAAGGCCAACTACCCGTTACTACAGCAACACAGCGAGTATATGCAACAGGGATGGCCTAAGAACAACGAATTCCGAGTGAGTTCATTAAATATTACGCAATTTGAGATGAGCTGTCAGTAATAGATGGTTGTCTGATGCGTGCTTCGGTGTTTATGGCTCCAAGTCAGTTGGTAAACAAAATAATTGCTTGTGCACATGAGGGTCACCCGGGTATCGTTCGGACCAAAAACCGGCAAAACACTACTTTTGGTGGCCACGAATGGCATCTAGCATTGATACATTTGTGAGAAACTACAACGCTTGCCGCCTAGCGGAAAAAAGTTCTCTGACAGTCGAAGCTCCAACACAGACTATTATTACCCGATGAAGCCGTGGGCTTACGTAGCCAATGAAATTAAGGGTCCATTTGCTAATCCTGTAAGGAATAACAGAACGATACTTGTAGCTATGTGTTTTTACAGTATGTGGCCTGAACTCTACGCGTGCGACCAAGTGATTACTTCGGAGCTGTTACGCAGGTTTGAGTACTTGTTCAGTCGATTCGGCCTAATGAGAGAAATACCCACGGATAATGGACCACAATTTTGTAGTCACGACTTCGCAATTTTTTCTCCAGCGCCATAACATAAAACATTCCAGAACTGCAGCCTACAAGCCTACTACTACTACTACTACTACTACTACTACTACTACTACTACTACTACTACTACTACTACTACTACTACTACTACTACTACTACTACTACTACTACTACTACTACTATTCTTGGAGGTGTACCGTTTCCTTTTTGAAAAATGTGCTTTCAGTTGTTGACTGGTTTGCCAAACATAGTTAAATGGATGTACACGTTTCGCCATTATTGTTGTCGGATCGTGTGTGCAGTGACGCGCGGCGGAAAACCTTACGCATTGGATTGTTTATTCGTGATCGACGAGCAGGTGACTTTTAAAAATGCCACTTTCGGTTTGCGCCCCATGAGCTTTACCCACAATACCTCACAGCTATGCGGTTGCTCAAGTTGTTCGCCGCGCATCTAACTTCGAGCCCTGCATTTCAAGCCGCCGGAGATCTTTCTTTCTGCGCTTTTGGTACTTGGGGTCGATGTGCACGCGCATGCCACTGAAATCATTAGAGGGGAACCAAGCTTCTAAGAATGCCCTTCCTATTTGTGTGACAACTTAAGCCAAAACCACAGACCTGTTCCAGTCGAAGCTATGTCCCTTCTCATACAAAAATCGCTGTAGTCCGGTGCACTGGCAGCTACTGAATACCAAGCCTTGCTTTCACTCAGTATTATGGCCATACCTTTGCAATTTGCTGAGATAGTATATTTGCACTTTAACTTTGAAACTCGAATAATGTCTCGCACCGGGTCAGCATTTAATTTGTGAATCTTTAATTGTGTTTCTTTTTTGGGTGCTTATAATTTTTGGAGGGTTTCGTTAGCTTTCAAAGCCTAGAAAAATGCTGATCGCAAACTACGCTTAGCCGACACCGCTTGGCTTAAAATTAGAATATAAACAACAAAACTGGTTGATGCCGCATTATTCAGACGTACACTTAGCTTAGGAGAACTGCGTTCATACATGGGTGTTTCATGTGATTCTGTTCATACTGATCCGTTACGATTTTTGAGATGTTTCAATGCAAATTCATCCCAAAAGCTTTTATTGTCATTATTAAGGGCAAAGGTATGTGGAGTGAAAAATGCGAAAACTGCTCCCATATCTCTGTGGCTCCAGCTAGTAGACACAATTGCTGCATCAGACATTCACAGGTATACTTAAGTTGGGAATGAATACAGGGTTTGTTAAATGCGTTATTCATATTCTATACTCCGAACTACTGTAAAGGTATGTGACTATCCTGTACCACAATTAGATGGTAGGACAAAAAGTTTGGCATGTAATACTATAAGTATGAGTAGGTTTACACATCACTTCACGTACGAAACTTCTGAATAAGAAAATTGGCTTTTTACTTACCTCTTTTGTCCTTTGAAATAACCACGGTTTCGTTCAAAAGTTTTGAAAGTCTTTTTTTAACCACATTTTCTATCGTGGCTGGATCTTTATATAAGTGTAATCAAAATAAACGGTCGTACTGGACATTAGTGAATTACTTCCATTGACGCAAATGTAACATAGCAGGTCCATATTTCGAGCACGAAGCCGTGTTGACATCAAGTTAACAACCACTGAGCTAAAAGTAATTCCACGAAAAAATACAGTGGGACATTTGTTTCAAAATGAACATTAAACTTCAAGGTGATTTCCAAACGAAAAAGCAATAAGCAGTTATGGCAGACGCGTTGTAACTGGAAGGCAAGCTTTGCATTGAATAGGAAAAATAGAATTAGATAACTGGTGTGTGGAAGAAAGATCAAAACACATCAGCGCAAGAGCAACATTTTGACTGTTGCTATTAAGGTACATCACCCTGACCTTTTAGGGTCGAGTACACTAACAAAACATGATAGACCGATGCTTGTACGCTGAGGCGCCCTGAGCGACTGTGTGTGGTACTAATGGCAGTCAAAATAACACATGCTAAGGACAAACTAGGTCACTTAGAAAAGATTTTCATAGCGCAGGCTCGACGTAAACGTGAAAGCCCTTCTTTTAGGTGCACATATTGTCCACATACACAGAAACTCGACTCCCAAATAGTAATAACGCAGTACTGAAGACGTTAGACTACATAAGCAAGTTACTGAGTGACCGAAATTTGTTCTAAATATGTCACACTAACTTGGTCAATGGGTATGGAGAAGATTGAGTAGTAGCAGTTTACCAAAGCAGCACAGATGGATGGTCAGCCGTGTTTTTAGTTAATCACTAAACAAAGTAATTAATATATCAGTAGGACTAAATATGACATGGAATATAATGACACATCGTTAACACCAATGAGATTGCCTATAAATTTTTACCTCGATAAAATTGCACTTTGATACCGATAAGCTGCGGCCAAGTGAGCATCTTCCGTTCCCACGACCATCCCAGTGCAACACCCTTAAGACGAATTTCGGTAAATCGGAAAAGCTTTGGGTGTAGTATAACGTCTTCGGTGAATCGATTTCCGATGAGTGTCAACAATATGCATGACCTGGATAATTGTATTCACACGTATGTTAAGGATGCGCAAAAAGCACTTTTCCTATGTGACTGGAATTCGTCCCAAACATGTCTCACTGAGAAGACCAAGGGTACAAATTACGGCAGCACAGGGAAAACTTGAGGTCAATCCAGTGTACGAAAATTTGTCATAGTTATTATACTGGTCTCGGTCACTCGTGCTAACAGAAACTACAATTTCATTGAAGGTAAAAACGGGTGGTAATGAAAACGCATTAAAATGTTTGACGGCCTATTTAGACATTTCGCAATTTTGCCTTGTTAATTGCTTTGTCCTACTGTTAGTGACGAAAACACCCCAAATCGGGCGGCTGGACGATTAGCTGTGCCGAGCGAGTACTGCCAACGAAGAAGGCTAGGAAAATGAAAATGATAACTACCCGGCACGCTATTATTACATTCTTTATGCTTTTAGTTGTTCCTCCTAATGGCGTTTAGTGTTACTTTATGTGTACCTCTACTTCGCACCTGGATTTAAAGCAGGTCAAGTCAAGGTCCATGGACGACACAGGTTTCGGTCTAAGGAGCGACCTGCTTCTTGTGTCGGAAAGCACACCAGAGCCCCAACAATTCGAGGTGCAGGGTTTGTTGTAAAATGGTGAGCCTGCCACGATCGCTCGTACCAAGTATAAGAAAACAACCAGGGTCGTGGAATTTAAAGCTCGTGAATGCCAGGAATACGGACGAAAGGAAATGACACTAGTTTGGATGTATTCCTCTCACTATATAAAGCGGTGCTACGACCCCACTTGGAATACTGTGTCCAAGCCTGGGTGCCGTATCTTCGGAAGGATGTTATTTGTATAGATAAGGTACAGAAGCTGGCGACTAGAACGATTGAAGGCCAGCCCGAACAGCCGTACGATGAACGTCTAAACAGCTCGGGAATTCTTGCCATGAAATGGCCTATATTGAGAAGAGATCTGATAAAGCTATTTCGGATCATGAAGGGCCTCAGTGACATCAAGCCTATTACCCTGTTTGAGCCGGCTACATCAGATCGCTTGAGAGGTCACCATTGTAAACTCAAGCATCGGATTCAGAGAAATTAAAACACTGTATTTCAGGGGGTAGGTTGAAGCTTTACACTACTTAGTTGGTGTAGACAGTTGGGTTCAGGTTTAAGAAAACGCAAATAAAACATTTAATGGGTTGGACTCTCATGTTAGCCGTATCTTCGTGAGGTCTAAGTGGCATTTAAATAAATTACGTCGCCTCGAAGCGTGACACCACATCACGTCTCCTAATAAAGCTAGGGAACGTATAAGGACGAGGAGAAAATGGAGACTATTAATATGTAAACCGGGAGCGCCGAGAAAAAACTAGATTCCGCCTGACGTGGAGGACGGGTAGTGACCTAGAGATTCCCCCGTATGACTATGTAAACTATTCTAAAATATGTTCAAATTATGGCTTTCTTATGTATTAGGGAAATAGGCGGTTTGCCTGTTGGAATGTTGTTCACGTTTGTTGGAAACACGAATACGCTCTCGGCCTTTGGCGTGCGACTCGACTGCGAACGGCGCTCCGTCTACGTTCTCGCCACCAACTACATTCGCCCTAGCTAGCTCTCTTCTGGTGCTCTATTTTTTTAGCATTATTTAACTCTCGTCCTGTCCAATAAACTTTTTCCCTAGTCTACTTTTGTGTGTTCTACCCATCGCTTTTGGTTGGTCGTCTGGTTTCTTACGGAATATATAGCGCACGATCATCGCGCTAAAATTGGTGACCCTGAAAAAACGTTTTAGTGAGTTTGATGCTAATATTTCTTTTCAGATCCGGTGACTTATTCTGTCTACCCTACTACTTTTATATTTTACTATTTTGGATTACTTTAACAAGCTTCATATTTTTTCCCCATGTAGGTCATTCACCGAGGTTCTGACGATCGGGATAGTGGGTTCCATTTCCCAATCCCGCTTTTCCGGGAGACTAATCCTACGGTCTGCTTTAATCAGCTAGAATCCATTTTTTCGTTACATGGCGTTAAGTCTGACAGTGTAAAATTTCACTGCGTTGTTGCTGCGCTTCCTCCCTAAGTCGTTATTGACCTCGACGACATCTTTGAGCTTCCCGAATATCAGAAGAGTTACGATGAGCTTAAGTCTCTAGTCTTAAAGCGATTCGGCATATCAGACCATGCTCGTGTTACGCAGCTTCTTGACGGAACCGAGCTATGTGATCGAAAGCCTTCTCAGTTGCTGCACAAGATGCAGGCTCTAGCTAAGCCTCTCCCTGTTGGCGATTCTCCTTAAAGAGATGTGGATTCGTCGCCTGTCACGTGACATGCGTAACCCCTGTAGGCAAACGATGCGCCTCTTTGTCAGCTCGCCGACATTGCCGACCGTATTTGGGAATCCAACGCCCAAGTATCTCAGATTCAGTCTACTTCAAGTACAAGGTAGCAGAACTAAGAGCGCAAGAAGCGGCACTTATCAATCAACTAGAGAACCTAACACAGTCCCGATGCATCTGCCGAAATCGTTCCAGTAGTCGCACTCGTTCTAGATCACGTTCGAAATCACCCCCTAGGTTAAGCTATTGTTGGTACCAAGAGCGATTTGTTCATCAGGCCAGATCGTGTCGCCCGTTTTGTTCCTTCAAGCGCAACACTCAGGCAAACGGACCAGCCAGCACATAGGGGCAACGGACGATGGTGGCTGCCCCAGTCGCCTTTTCTTTGTCACCGATCGTAGTACAGGAGTATGCTATCTCGTTGACACCGGCGCAGAAGTCGGAGTTATCCCACATGATTCTAATGGTGTTATCAAAGAAGCGGCCGGTTCATCGCGCGCAGCAAACGGCACCACCATTCGCGTGTATGGTCAACGCGCACACATGCTTAAGTTAAACCTACGACGTTCTTTTAAATGGATCTTTCTCGTCGCAGATATCCAGACGCCAATTCTTGGCCTTGACTTTCTGCAGCACTTCGATTTGCTTGTTGACGCAAAGCAACGCCGTTTGATCGATCGTCAAACAAACCTGGCAGTTATAGGTACTTTGACCAACATTGAGTCAATCAGTCCTGTATACGCCAACCAGTCCAGCTCACCTATCGGTCAGATGCTTAATACCAAGTTCCCGCAAGTCTTTCGTGCAGTGGCACCGTTTTCATCCGCCACTGATGATGCAAAACATCACATCGTTACCAAAGGTCCGCCTGTCTTTGCCAAACCCAGGCGAATGACCTCTGACAAATTGAAAATTGCTCGCGCAGAATTCGAGCACTTGCTTGAACTAGGCATCGTTCGCCCGTCTAAAAGCCCGTGGGCGTCGCCGCTCCACATGTCGCGCAAAACGTCAGGAGACTGACGTCCATGTGGTAATTAGCGCGCGCTCAATAACGTTACTGTTACCGACCACTATCCTATTCCTCACGTTAAGGACATCACGGCAAGCCTGCGAGGCAGCCGTATGTTCTCGAAAATCGATCTGGTTCGCGCGTATCACCAGATTACAGTCTCTGAGGAATACATACCGAAGACAGCCGCAATCGCGCCGTTTGGGCTCTTCGAATTTTCGCGTATGCCGTTCGGTCTTCGCAACGCAGCTCAGACTTTTCAACGATTCATCGATATTATGGCGAGATGATTGTGCGCTATATATTCCGTACGACACCAGACGGCCAACCAAAAGCAACGGGTAGAACACACAAAATTAAGCTAGGGAAAAAGTTTATTGGACAGGACGACAGTTAGCTAACGCTAAAAAATAGAGCACCAGAAGAGAGAATGCAGTTGGCGGCGAGAACGTAGACGGAGCGCCGTTCGCAGTCGAGTCGCACGCCAAAGGCCGAGAGCGTATTCGTGTTTCCAACAAACGTGAACAACGTTCCAACAGGCAAATTGCCTGGTTCCCTAATACATAAGAAAGCCATAATTTGAGCTTATTTTAGAATAGCTTACACAGTCATGCGGGAGATTCTCCAGGTCACTACAGACGACCAGGGATAGTGGCAGGAATCGTGGTGATACTTTGGGTTCACTTACTCCTACTATCAAGGACATTGGTAAAAGTAATTTATAAAATTCAGCATGAATATA